ATCTTAACCCGAGGTTGAGTTTGAACCTCGGTACGCATTATTTTATCTTACGCTAAGGATGAAGTCAAACCTTAGGCACAAAATCTTAACCCGAGGTCGAGTTCAAACCTTGTGGCGAATTATCTTATCTTAAGTTGAGGTCGAGTTCGAACCTCGGTACGAAATCTTAAGCCAACGTCGAATTCGAACCCTAGTACAAATCATTTTACGCTAAGCCAAATTTGAGCACCAAAGCGCAAAATACAGAGCAAATTCAGAACAAATTCTGAGCGTGTTTTCAAATCACAAAAATGGGCGAAAACTAAGCCTAAAACATGAGCACAAAACCAAAGGTCAAAATAAAACCATCAAGAGCGCAAGATGAAAACTCAGGAAAATAATATATACACAACAAGTTTGTAGGTTCAAAACATGAATCCAAAAAAGCAAATGAGCAAAATAAGCTAAATTATTACAAAACCAGCCTAGGTGGAGGCATTCTCACTCGAGCTGTCTGGGAGGTCGTCTTCCTTCACCAGCCGCCCGAAGCGCACGTCTTTCTCCACATGCATAGCGGAGAGGTCGACTCCGGGTGCAAGCAACCTTGCCTGACGAGCTGCCTTGAGGAAGCCTTTCTTATGTTCGAACAGAACAGCTCGCTTAGTCTCGACGAGCCTCCTCTCCAGCCCCGCCTTAGCATCGGCCATCTTATCAAGGTCCGCCTTCAGAGCCGCGATCTCCTCTTCCTTACCACTAAGAAGCACCTCGTCACAGAGACGCCTCTCAATAGCTTGCCCCAATTTGGCCTTCAGCGCCGAGACCTCATCTTCAAGGGAACGCACTCTACCCCGAGAGAAAGTGGAGAGCTCCTGAAGCTCACCAACCTGAGCAGCATAGACTTCGTTGGCCCTCAAGGCGATCTTCAAAGACTTCTGGACCCTTGCGAGATCTCTCCTTGTAGCTTGAAGCTCGGCCTCGTTCTGCCTCTTGGCCTCGCCTAGAGCGGCCCCCAACGCCCGATTCTCCTCTTCCAAAGGCTGGACTCAGCTCTTCGCTTTTTCGAGGTCCCCCTACTGCTTTGACCACCGGTGCTTCCAGTGGTCCACAATAGCCATCACCCTCTACATGATGACCTCCGCAGAGTCAAGGCCCTCCACTAGCCCGACCTTCTCGATCATCGCCTGATCGACCAAGCGAAGTGAACCCTTTGGGTAGAAAGTCTCCGCGGTCACCCCCGAACTCCATAGTGAGTCCACATCCGATGACGCGCTCACATGATCTAACCTCGTCAAAGGGCGACTCTTGTCGAAGCGTTGTGCAATGTACTTACCCTTGGGGGCCTCCTTCTAAGGACGAGACGGCACCACCGTGGCTGCAGGGGTTGGCGTCGGGACCTCAGAGCTTGGCCCCTCTCTGCAGACCTCAGCGGGAGTCGCGCCAGGAGCCGCCTGCGCGACAGCGGGAGCGTTCAGCCCTGGCGTTTCCGAGCTTGGTTCCACTCGGATCTCGGAAGTAGTTCCCTTAGGCTCCGCCTACAAAACACAAAAAATCCTTAAGTTATAAAGCAAGAAAGCCACACAATGGGAAAGAAAGACAGCAAGAGAAGAGACACAAACCTGCGCCTCACGAGCAACCTCCTCCACGGCAGCTCGGGATGACCCCTCAGGAGGAGGACTTCCTGTCAAGTCGACTACGTCGGCATCAGTAGCCTTCGAAGTCACCTCCTCAGCATCTTGAGGGGCAGAGGTCCCCCTAACCTCCTTCTCTCCCCTCTTTCTTTTCCTACGAGTCTCCAGGGGGGAGACCTCCTCCTCCTAAGGCTCGGGGACCTCAATCTCGGCCACATTGTACCGAGACTTCAGCTCGTGCCACTTGCTCTTTCCCATTATTCCTGCAAGTACAAAAGCCAAACACATTAGTAAAAGAAAATTTTACAAACCCTGACAACTAAAAATGACGAGGTACTCACTCTCTAGACCCCTCTCCTTGTACGCCGAGTTAGAAAGCGACAAGATGAGCTTGCAATCCAGGGAACGTGGAAGCGCTTCTAGGTCTTTAATGGCAGCAGCATCCGAGGTCGTCAATTGAATTTTGGCCGACCCGTTGAACTTGACCGGATCCTGCTGCCAGTAGAACGGAAACCTCGGCAACCTGCCAAAATGGAACACCTCATTCTTCAGTTAGAAATGTTAAGATCATATGTGTAAGACAATAGTATTAGTCTTAGTCACAAATGTTTATGAATCTTAAAATGCATGATAAGTTCTCAAATTGAACACTTTGTTTATCTAAGACAAATGCTTTAAATATCACATTAATGTATTTGATGTTTCTATCATTTGCTTTCATGACATTGCTTAACTAATTGAAGGAATAAAGCCTTTTTGGTGCTCACAATGCTTAAAGAAATGAGAGCTTGCTTTACACCAGAACAAGGACAAGTAAATATCTCAAAGTTTGTCAGAAGACATTCTTGAATGACACACGCAATAGTGCCTTCTCTTTTAGTATCATAAAGGTAATAAGTAGTCTCCTTGATCAGATAAGAAGTGATCATTTAGTGAAACATATTTAATGCACCAACAGACACCTAACTTTAAAAGAAAGCAAGACATGTTGACCAAGCTCAAATAAAACATATAAAAGACAAGTTCTCAAGTTTTACCACTATCAAAGCATAACCAACTCAAGATAAACAATATCTATGATGCATAAGCTGGAAAATGTAAAAGGAACATATAAGAAAGGAGTTAAATTGTGTGTTTAAAACTGAAAATAAAATAGTCTTTTCAAAAATAGATAAGATTGTCCAATGGAAAATGCAAATAAGGGGAAAAAATAAAATAGAGTTTTATACTAATTTTGTAATGGCTCGATAGGTCATTACTCTTAGTATGACACAACTACAACACATATGAAAACTTAAAGATTTACTAGCTTAGGATTATCATGCAAATAATACCTGGATATCAATGCAACAAATATATGTATAAGGTGTAGAAATCATAAAACAGTCCTATCATTTTGACTTGAAAACATATATTCCCTTATGGGGTTACAACAAACCCTATACATATATACACATACACATCTAATAAATAAGTACTAAAAAACAAAATCCTAGCATTGGTCAAGCATACATGGCATATGAAAACAACTCAACAAAGAAAGATGTCATCTCTAGCATTGCCATCTAGCAATAATGCCCTCTAACTTAATTCTGTCATACTCCCAAATCAAGTATAATCATAATAGTTTAACTACATGGAAAAGTAATGGGAAGCTTGTGAAAGAAACACCATATCATCAAATATAAGAAGTAAACAATGTCAACAACATATACAACATCATCAACAAGTTAACTTTACAAATTTAAAATATAACAACTTAATAAATAAAAAATACACCTTAACAACATAAATCAACTAAATAACTTATCAACTTAAAACAACTGAGCAACATTAACAACTAAACAATATAAATAATTGAATAATTGATGTGTCATCACACATATCAACTTATGATGATCTCCTACAACTTAGTGAGTAGTCTAAGTGAAATGACCCTACTGAATCACAATGACTAGAATGGTGACCAAAAACAACAATTGACATGGTAACTAGAAACAACGATTGGTATAATGACAAGAATTCAATTTATTTTGGTCTCTCAAGTTTGACTACTTACAATAGGAAAGTCTAGTACTAGTATTAGGAATAGAATTTAGGCATGAGATTACCATGATCTTAGTATGCCTAATTAAGTCTATATGGATTTAGCCCACTGACTATGTTCTAAATATTGTGCGCCTTACTTGTTAGCCACTTATTACTAGTATGGTTCAACCTCCACCATACTGTTTCAACTTAAAAACTTAGAGGAGAAAACTTTAAAACGACTTCTCAATTAGGAGACAACTTACTCATTGAAAGATTTTCAACTTTTTTGGCTCTTAGAGTATGATAACTTATATTCACATAATGAGGTATTTAAATTTCTATAACTTTTCTCTCTTTTATTTTTTATGCAACTTTCAACTTAAAACATGCAACAAATTTTCATCACAACTTCATAAAAAAAATTATTCACTAAATAGTGAAATTGACAAAAATTTAGGGACAAAAAATATTTATTTTAACCAAATATTATTATAACAGATCAAGTGCTGACAATGAAGATTGCTATAAAGAATATTTTTTATTCTTCATCATATATAGATTTTGTATGTGGCAAATCATGAAAAAAAAATTATGATAAAGTGAGTGTTTTCCTAAATACTATTGTGGAATTCAATAGAAAATTTAAGTCATGTATTTGGGGTTTAGAGACTCCCAATGAATTTGAAGCAATGTAGAGTTCCGTCATAATTGGGTTTGAGTTGCAAAAACAATATATAGTTGTCACATATGTATGACATTCAAAGTATATGAATCCTAGTTTACTTTATAGATGAATTTTTGGGTGGAATATTGAGAACAACCTCATGATCAAAAAGTGAAAATTCACTCTATCATAATTTTCTTTTGAATTTTGGATGAGGTTTGAGTTTGCAATAAAAATACTAAAATATAAGGAGTTATTTATAATAATGATTCACTCCATTAATTACTAATGCTAAAGTTGAATTGAGATTTAGAGAAACGTGACAGAAATGTTTACACTCTAAAAAATGTTTTTACATTTTTAAGAAGAGTTATGGATTACATGTGTAAATTGTGGAGTTAAAAATAAGATAGTGAAATATGGAATAGAAATGGTACATATATTACGGATAATTGTATATCCTTAGTTGAACTTCACTTGTCACCGGAACTTCCATGTCAAAGGAAAAGCATAATTTTCCAACTATTTGCACATTGGTTATAGCAAACATTTTTCAACTTTAATACGTGTTTGGATCTCTCCATCTCTATAAATTTAAGTATATAAATGACATTAAATGTCAATCATAAAAAAAATATTAATAACCATTATACATAAAAAATAGTAATGCAAATTAAATGGACACAAGAAAATGGAGATGACCTAAATTCTTTTAGTACAACTAAATCATCTTGTTGTCAATACAAGAAGCTTGAGAGAGAAAACATAATGCAATAAAGATTTACAAGTAGGATGAACAAAAATATTTATAAAAGAATCAATCAAATCAAAAGATTAAAAAATTTTCATCCTTGGTAGAATTTTGGTTCAACTTCTCAACCCACACATTCTTATTATCGCACTTTTTATCGTCCTCTTTCTGCCCCTCATTCTCCTTTTTCTCTCCTTGCTTTTTATTCTTGGGGAAAAATATCCCATGAACAAAGGACTCCACATCTTTTCTTGAAAACCCTTCAGAATCCACAATTTCATTTTGAGGTATATAGGGTGGACGCGCAATTTCCAAGATCGTGTCCCACTTGACACATTTAAAGAAATCATGACCCTTGATATCATCCACCTCGATCCTACGATTGGGATCTTTTGTAAGCAACTTCTTAATCAAGTCCCTCAACGGTGTCGTTTCCCCTGTCAACTCAGGCTCCTTGGTCAAAATTTGGTGAAACGTTTCCTTCCTATTTGCACCCTTAAACGGTGTCTTCCCGTAGAGCATCTCGTACAAAACAACGCCCAACGACCACCAATCAACTCCGAAATCGTGTCCTTCACCTGAAATAACCTCGGGTGCCACGTAATCCTCGGTTCCCACGAACGAGTTTGACTTTTCCACCGAGTCTGACTCGCTCCGACGACGCATCAGCTGACTCGGAATCTCTGAGTCATGAATGAGTTGCGCCGAGTGACAGTAACAGTTGAAGCGCGAGAATCGTCGCTTCCTTCGGTCCTTCTCCGGGGACGAGTCTGAACCGGGTGAGGAGTTGCAACTCGACGAGTTTGACTTGTGTAGCATCTTGGAGAGGTCGAAATCCACGAGCATTATATGACCTGATTCTTGGATCATGATGTTCTCTGGCTTCAAGTCCCTGTACACTACTCCGAAATTGTGCAAATACTCCAATGCTAGGACCAATTCAACTGCGTAAAACCTTAACAACAAAAAACAAAATTGTATGGAACAGAATCATCAGTAATAATAATTTGGTTATTTTTTGCCTTTCATCTCTTTATAATATTAAACTTGTCATTTTCATTTCTCTATTTTTAATTCTACAATTTTAATTTTTTAATTTAATAAAATTTATAATTTTGATTTTTTTATTAAATATATATCCATTAAAATTATAATGTTGATTATGATATTACATTACTCATTAGATAGATGACACACTAATCAAAATTTAATAATATTTAAGTAAATTTTATTTTTAATTCTCATTTTTACTTCATAAAACTAAAAAAATAAGGTGAAAACGAGAACAAAAAGTAAAATTTAATTTAAATATTATTAAATATTAATAATTATGTCATTTACTTAATATTAAATTATAATTAACGTAACAATTTTAATAATTAATGGATGAGAACAAAAATTATAATTTTTATAAAATTAAAGAACTTAAATTGTAGAATTAAAAATAAAATAAAATTATAAATTTAACACTATTGAGCTTAAGCCTTGTTTACTTTTCTTTTTTACTTTTTTAACACTATTAAAAACAAGGCTAAACTTTTATATATTGTTTAATGTTTAATGCATTCATATATTAATGATTAGAAGATTGTATCTTCTCCCTCTTCTAACTTTATTTTTGTTCGATATCATACTTAATTTTACTCCTTGTGCTTTGAATCACCTACTAACAATTATCTATGCAATTTTTTTGAGTTGTATTTTGAAAACTAAAATCAGTTTTTGAAAGTAGAAATTAACCATACCCGTTAAATTTCACATATTTTAAAAAGAAAGAAAATTTTAAAAGTTTCCATTTCAAGGGATTAATAAAATACATGCACCTACGTGATTTACAAGAGAAATGAAGGAAAGATTTATAATTTCATATTTTTTATTTGAGTAATCAATATTATAAGTGTGACTCATTTCTTAAACATGTATGGTATCCATATCCAAAATAACACATAAAAAACAACCAAGCTACAAATAGCTAAAGCAACCTTTTCATTCAGTTTTCTCACACACGTGAGAGAAAAGTAAATTTTGGAAAAATTAATCTGAATTTTAAGCTTGCAATCCAAATATTTTCCAAAATCATTATCTCAATAAAAAAAAATGGACATATAGAAGAGACTAATTAATCACTGACGCAAGAAATCAAGATTGGAATTTATGGCCCAAAGAGATATCACATTTTGTGACAAATAGCATGTTTATAATGGTGGTGGAGAGAACTCAAATTATACATAGCACGATTCTATCTTTAAAATTTCTTGAAAACACTAAATTTTTCAAATTTGATTATAATTAGTTTGAATGATAACTAATTTTTGTCATTGAAAAATTTAACTTAATTACTTTTAATAAAATTTTTCTTTTAAACTAATTTTTCATATACAAGTCAGAACTCCAGAACTTTAATAGGATCAAACACAAAACTTGAAACTGAAATTTTTGTTAAGAGGATTTAGTATTATTGGAATCAATTACTTGATGTTTTGAATTTTGTAATAATAGAAAGAGAAAGGAAAAAGGGATAATTACCTTATGGTTTCTTCAGAGAAAGTCTTGTGGGGTTGTTTTTTGCGAAGAGAATGTAGAGTCCCACCGTGGCAATAATCGATTGCGAATCCAAGGAGTTGGTCCGTTTCAAAGGCCCCACGGAACTTGGGCAATAACGGGTGATCAAAACGACACAGTATGTGCCTCTCAAACGACACCCTCTTACACCCACTGTCGCTCTTATTCTTCTTCTGCAGCAGCGCCTTCGACACCACCTTCAGCGCCAGCCACTCCCCGCACGTGCCGCTGTACGGCCTCGCCAGGAACACCACGCCCTTGGCCCCGCGTCCCACGGCGGATACCACCTTCAGGTCCCGGAAGTCCATGGCGTCGCCGCGCCGGAGCTCGTGCTCGCTGTCGCTGTCGCCGCCGTACATCACGGAGCGCCTCCGGTGGGTGACTCGGCGTACGCACGCATGCACGCACGCACGCACGCACGCACTCGTTTCAGCTCCCTGTTGTTGTTTCTCAGAGGCTTTTATAGGGTGCGGCTCCGTGGGGATCTTCACCGTGCACACGTGGGACGATGCTGACGTGGCGGGATGCTATTGGCGCTGGGGTGTCGAAAGTGAAAACGGGTTTGTTAATTGTTAGGGTGGAAGTGCAAGGATACGACTCTGGAATACGTGTGAATCTATAGGGGACGTTCAAACTTCAAAATCAGAAGAGGCTATATTAAGAAAATGGTTTACCCAAAACAAGGAAACAGAAGACAATGTAAGAAGGTACATTTTCAACGTGGGTTACGTGGCAATGCATAAAATACATTTTTTTTTAAAAAAAAATTATATTTTTGTTTAAAATATTTGAATTTTGTTGCTGTCTTTTTCAATTTTAAAAATTATGCTCCTCATTAATGGAAGGTGCAACGTATTTTACATATAACTAGAATTATTGCTTGCATAATGCATGGGTAAATGTATTTTAATTGACTTAAATACTATGTTTTAAGATCTTATAAATACAGTATCTTGTTTAAGTTTTTTATAATAAAAAAAACTGTATCTGTGACATTATTTTTAAGTGTCGTATTTTAGTTTTTATCCCCGATTTTAATTAGTTTAGTTTCTTTTTTACTCAAATTAGTTTAGTGTTAAAATAGTTAATAAAATAAAAAAAAAATGAATTAAAATAAATAAGACAACAGATAATATTTTAAAGACTTAATTGTAGTTTTGATCTTTTGAGTATAACAATTGTATAATTTTAGTTCTTAAGATTTTAATTAGGTAATTTTAATCTCTAAAGTATCGCAATCATGCAATTTTAATTCTTTTAAGTATCATAATTGTATGGCAGTCCCCAAATATTGCAGTTATACAATTTTTAACCTATTTGAATAACATATATTATTACTAAAATTAATAATATATGTAACTTAAATAAATAAATAAATTGTATAATTGTGATTTATGTAGTACGAATTTGGACACGATATAGACGAACATGAAGATACAACAAAATCAAAAAACATAGGACATGGCACACACACATATATATAATATATAATACAAATAACATGGCAAAAAATTTATATATTAATATAACAATTACTTACTAAGTCTCAAAAATAAATTATTAAGATACATCATATTTTGCAATAAAAAATATCAAATCTTCACTTCTTTGTTTTTATTTTTATTGAGATTTTTCCTTTTAAAAAAAATACATTCTCCCTTTTTTGTTTCTATTTCTATTGAGATTTATTCTTGAAAAAAAAAACTCAAATTCTCTCTTCTTTGTTTATATTTTTTTTATTGAGATTTAATTTTTTTAAAAAAAAAATCTCAAATGCACGTATCAAATAATGCATAAAGATAGAGACATGTTTATTTACATGTGTTTGGAGATATGTTAGTTTAGGTGTCCACGATGAAGATGTGTCCAATTTGTGTGGACATGCTGTCTCCACTCCAAAAGAGTTTCGGACTAGGGGACACAGTAGTCCCATGTTGTGTCTATGTAACATAGATTGTGATACTTAAATATTAAAATTGTTTAATTAAAAGTTTGAGAGGCCAAACTTGCACAATGACGATACTTGAGAGACTAAAATTATTCAATTAAAATTTGAAAGACTAAAATTTCTCAACTATAATACTTAAAAGGACTAACAACATATTTAAGCCAAAAGGATAATAGATTGAAATAGTACATAACTCCTTTTTTTTAAGTTGGCATAAACTATATTTTTTCTTGAAATTTTTTGTAATAAAATTTAAGGTAGATTATTAAAATGATTTACAGAAAAAGAGAGAGAGAGAAAGAGAGAGAGAGAGAGAGAGAGAGGATATTATTGGGTCACTCATTAGAAAATATGTAAAAGATTTATATACTTTTTGTGGCTTTCTAGCCACCTATCTTTACCAACTAATGCTTTTAGAGTAGAAAGATTGTCTTTTGACCCTTCTTATAGCAGGTGTGGTGCTTCTTGGGAAGACTTTTTTTATGTGTTGAGAGATTGTCATAAAGTTAAATAGATTTGAAGCTCTTTCAATTTCATTTGGTGAGATGATGATAACTTTCCCAGTTAGCTGAGAGATAATTCAAATAGTAGCATAGGTATGCTTTTTGTAATCAGTTCTTGGACAATCTAGAAGGCAAGGACTTGTGAAGTTTTTTCAGGATCTTGTTTGGCATGAATGGTATGTAATCAACCAAATCAACACCATAATGGCTCTATCCATTTCGGCTTTCAATAAAAAAAAATGCTTATATTGACCATCTTCTAGTTAGGTAGGCTACTCTAAATAAGTCTACCATCAAAATCAACACAAATGGGAGCTCTTTGGGGAATCCAAGCATGTTAGGTTTTGGTAGTCTTCTTCAAAATCATCTCAAGCAATGAATTCAAAGATTTATAAGATATTGTGGTATCTCAACTAATGTAAATACAGAACTGCTTGACATTTATCATGGTCTTCGTATTGTACATGAGGTAGAATACAACTTTGTTATTTGTAAGTTAGACTCAATGAATGGATTGTTGTTTGTCAAGCAAGGGATGTCGTTACTTTACCCGTATGGTCCTCTAATTTCCAAAAATTAGAGTTTTTCTCACTCTCCCTTAAGATATCTCCTTTATATATACTTATATAGGAAGGGTAATAAATGTGTTGATTGGTTGACAAAATTAGGAGTCAATTCTTTTGATGAATTTTTTCTTTGTTTCAGTATTTGAGATAGTTATCTATTTTTGTCCTTATGAATACTATAAAAACTTTGTACCCTAGAAGTAGTTAATTTTTTCTTTCTCCTTCTTTCATTGCCTTTCCTGTTGATAAAAAAAACTCTTTTCTTTCAAAAAAAAAAATAAAATAAAATTACATGATTCATTAATACAAGTGTAGCACCTAGAATCTCTTAACCAATTCTTTTCAGACTTTGAATCTTGGTTTTGGATATAAATAGATTATGTTGATAGAAGAATGTCTATTTTGTATGTGGAGAAATTAGTTTACTTTTAATAATGGATATTTTTCACCAATATCATAATTATATAAAATAATCACATGATCATTTTTCTATATTTTTTTTTGAAATTACACTTCTCTCCCTAAGTGGTTAATATGTATAATACTTAACTTATTTTAATATATATGATTTTAGTATCGATGAAACACGATTATGAACAAACGTTAAAATGTTATTTTCCTTACAACTTTCAAGATTACCTTTAGCTAATTTTGAATATTATATTACTAATTTTAAAACTTTAATAGACAATATAACATTTTAAATATGCATACAATCACTTTCGAACATCATTTAAAATCTCCATGATAATTTAAAATTTTAAATCCAATAATATCAACTCAAAATTAGTTATTAGTAATCATCAAAAGTGATAAACTAATCCTAAAAAGACACCTTTACGTTAAACTCAATAGCCTATGTTGGGAAATAATTTTATACTTTCATTATTCCTTCCTTTTTACGACAAAACTTTCATATAAACCAAACAATTTTCCTAAATGTACAAACATGTTATTTAATTTAAAATTTATTCGAAAAGTTAAATCCAATTCTGTTTTTTCTTTTTTTAATTCCAACATTTTCTCAATTAAAGGATTACTTTCTCCTTGGTATACCTCCAAAGTTGAGATAATGTGGACAGCATTACCCATTACCAATACATCAGATTAATTTCTGCTAATGACAAATGTAGTTCAATGGCAGCAATTATGTATTGGAGTATCAAAGTTCTTTAACCCAAGGTTCATAATACTTTTACTTTAGATTTTATGCCTAAATGTAAAATTGATGATCCGATGGCGATTGCAATCGTGCCTTTTCAGAATAAATGTACAAACATTTGTCCTGAACTAGACATAGTATATTACATTCTCGAAAAGAAATTCCAAAATACTTGAGGATAAAACATTATTTGACAAAAGTAAAAAATCATAATAGTAAACACAAAAATCAAACACAATGCAGCAATATGATAGAGTAGAGGAACAACTACTAATTTACTATTAATCTAAGAAAATTTTTCTCTGTCTTTTTTTATTCTCAAAGTATTATTTAAAAGTAATACAAATGTCAATCATTGGTTGTTCACACATTCCAAAAACAGAAAAGAGAATTTAACAATTTATAAATACATAATCATAAAAGTCGCTATAACCAATTCACACATCTCCCATGTGACTCATATCAGACAAAGTCATGAAGGTGGCTGGGACTCTTGGTGATCCTTTTGGGCTTGGAAGTATTAGCCATGTTGTTATCATCTCCTTCCCCTGGAGAAAAATACCTTGTCCTCAAGGTGGTAAATATTACGAAAGTCCTCCCAATTTTCTCAACTTGTGTCCTCAGGTGCAAGACCAAGCCATTGGACAAGCACTAGCTTGGTGAGGGGAGAAGTGGAGCAATCCAATTTACAATCCAATATTGTTAATGGTTCCACAATGAGATGGTTTTCTACAACAAGAATTGGCAAAGAAATAGAGTGTGGAACCAAAGGACCCTAGTGAGGTTTTAGAAGTGAACAATAGAAAATAGGGTGAATTTTAGAAGGAGGCAATTGTAAGCGATAAGCCATGGGACCAATCCGCGCAGTAATTTGAAATGGACCATAGAATCGCTTAGAAAGCTTATGATAGAACCCAAAACTAAGAGTTTTCGATAAGGCCTCAATTTGACATAAACCCAGTCACCAACCTTGTAATGTATGTCGCGGCGTTTGCTATTAGCAGAATGCTTCATGACTGTTTGTGCTTTGGATAAGCAATTTTGTAATAGTTCGTAGGGAGCCTCATGAGTAGTAAGTACTAAATCAACAACCTCAATATTGGAAGAGTTTAATATATAATGAGGAATTGTAGGTGGGGGTTTTCCATAAGTGATCTCATAAGGGGTGAGGCCAGTTCTGAAATGAACAAAGGTGTTGTAAGACCATTCAGCTAGAGAGATGAACTTTGATCATTATAAGGGTTTTTCATGCACAAACGAACGCAAATACTGTTCCAAAAATTTGTTGAGGACTTCAATTTGGTCGTTGGACTCAAGATGATAAGCGGTGCTCATTCGTAGCTTGGTACCACATAATTTAACAATTCGCGTCAAAAGTTTCTGATAAAAATGTGATCACAATTTGACACTAGGCTATGAGGTAATC